CTCACAGTCTTAGGAGTAGAGTTGAGGCTTTCGGCTTTTAAGATTGTAGGCTTCAGGGTTAGGCTTTAGGAGTCTTTGGATTTCACGACTTAGTGTTTCAAGGCGGGCGGGGCTTTGGCGGCTTTGTTTCAAGACTTAGTGTTTCAAAGTTTTGTTTTGGCAAGGTCCAGGCCCGTGCACGGGCTCACGGGCTCACGGGCCCACGGGCCCACGGGCCCACGGGCCCACGGGCCCACGTGCCCACGGGCCCACGGGTCCGCCCGCCCAAACGACCATGCCCAGTTTCTTGTGGAGCCTCGCCAGGGTGAGTTTGGAGAATTGAGCCCAGCTCAATCCTCAACCCTCGACGCAGCCCTGAAACAGTCAACCCCTCCCTACAACCCCAAGCCGACAATTTTCCAAATTAGGGGAGGTACCCCTCATAAGGGTCCCCAAAATAGGTAGCCCTAAACCAAACCCTAAACCCTAAACCCCAAACCCCAAACCCTAAACCCTATTACTGGGAAAACCCCGCAATCGGGCATTGGCTTTGGTCCATGCTTGGGCCCAGGCTAACCCGGCAGGCCATGGTAAGGTTGGAGGCGGAGTCCTTAGCAAAGGCCGGTCCGAATGCTGCGGGTTAGGGTTTAGGGCTCTGGGTTTAGGATTTGGGGTTTGGGGTTTGGGGTTTGGGGTTTGGGGTTTGGGGTTTAGGTTTAGGCTTTGGGGTTTAGGGTCTTGAGGCTTCGGGGTTTGAGGGTTGGGAGTTGGGTTGGGCTTTAGGGTTGTAGAGGGTTTATCAGGTTCAGGCTGCGGGGCGGGTCCGGTCGCTGGAGGGGCGAGTTGGTTTCGTTTTGTTTTAGGTCGACTTGCTGCGATAAACATGAACCAGCCACTTGTAAGCCCTAAACCCTAAACCCTAAACCCTGACCCTAAACCCTAAACCCTAAACCCTAAACCCTAAACCCTAAACCCTAAACCCTAAACCCCATATAAGGTCGACTCTCTCATCGCCAGCCCCAAAAGCCCACGAGAACCTGCGAGAGGTGCGTGAGGCGACGGCCGAGGCCAAGGAGGTGCTCTGACTTTGAGCCAAGAGTCTCCTTTTTGGGGGTGTTTTAGGATTTAGGGGTTTAGGGGGTTTAGGGGGTTTAGGGTTTAGGGTTTAGGGTTTAGGGTTTAGGGTTTAGGGGTTTATTTAGGGTTTGTCAACGGTTTAGGGGTTAGGGGTTAGGGGTTTCAGGGTTTTTAGGGTCTCTTTTGGGGGCCTTTAGGGTTTAGGGGTTTTAGGGGTTTAGGGGTTTAAAGGGTTTAGGGTTTCTTTTGGGGGGTTGAAGGGTTTAGGGTTTAGGGTTTAAGCGGTTTTTGCGCTTCGTTTGGGGCGCTGTGGTTGTGGGTTTTTTGGAGGCTGGGGTTTGAGGGTCCGGGTTGTAGGCTGTTAGAGCGCACGGGCTTCCCCACGCCCCGAAATGAAGTGAAGTGGAGCAAGGTTTAAAGTTTAAAGTCAAGACAGTAAACTTGACCAACACAGAATCCAGGCAGAATGATGCACACAAGCCCAGTACAGGGATCAGAAGAGGGGGCGCGCCCTAAACTCTAACAACGTACTAAGCCCCCAAGCACGAACCCCCCCCCCCCCCCCCCCGAGAATAAAGGCAGGGCGTCTAGGCAGGGTGTCTTTTATTTCCTGGGCTGGGATGGTGGGGTGGGGGTGGGGGGTAGTGCGCGGAGAGGGGCTGTCCTCTTGTGTCCTTTTCCGCTCCTCTTTTTGAAAGGCTTATGCTGGTGGGCCCGTCGGGCTTTCCATTATTTGCGGGGGTTTTATGAATCCCAAATTCTGGCCTGAATTCCGGCCCCGTAATTAAGGGGTAGGTCAGGAGCTAATGATTTGGGCAATGATCCTAGATGAAAAGTAGTAAGGAATCGCAGTTTTCTGCTGCAGCCTCCAACTCCAAAAAAAGAGAGGACGTGGGCAATTGCTTACTTAAGCCTTACACAGCAAGCCAAACTCTCTGTGCCTATCGTCATGGTGGGCCCGCCGGGCTTTCCACTATTTTAGGGGTTTTTATTAATCCCAAACTCAGGAGCGAATGATTTGGGCAATGATCCTAGATGAAAAGTAGTAAGGAATCGCAGTTTTCTGCTGCAGTCTCCAATTCCAACAAATCCGGGAGCACGTCGTATCATTACTTAAGCAATTCAAAATCTCTGTGCTTCTCGTCCTCGCAGGCCGGCGGTCTTTCCATTATTCTTGCTTATTCCCTGCAGCCTTCGACATTTCTATTTTTCTTGGGTCGCCGATTCTGTTTTTGTTTAATCCTGGGGGTTTTCTGGGGCATTTTGGGACCTTTGGCTCCCGTAATGGAGAGTAGTCTTCCTGGAGGGTTCGGGCCAAAATCTCTTTTTTTTTATGTCCATGGTTTTATAAATCAGATCCTCGGCTTGAACCGCCACCAAGCTCTTGGGACATTAACGATTTAGGAATTGTGTCCTTAACAGGGATTATAGTACCCCCTATTCTAATCCTTATAAGTGACTGTTAGTATAAGGGGGAGCATCCCAACCTAGACCCTGAACCCTGAACCCTGAACCCTAAACCCTAAACCCTAAACCCTAAACCCTAAACCCTAAACCCTAAACCCTAAACCCTAAACCCTAAACCCTAAACCCTAAACCCTAACTAGATTGCATGCTGCCATGGCATCGATGCCAGGCCGCACACGCAGACCTCCGAGGTGAAGAGCAGCTGTGCTCAGACCTCAGGGGCTAGGACCGGGACTAGGCCCTTACTTCCTTTTTTAGCGTTAGGGTTCCTTATTTAGGGTTTAGGGTTTAGGGTTTGGGGTTTGGGGTTTAGGGTTTAGGGTTTAGGGCTTAATCCCCTTAAAACCAAAAAGGGTACCCTTTTATTCCTAGGTTGCTCCCGGGGCTATGGGGCACCCACTCCTTTCTCTAATGTTTGGTAGGCCCAGGGGATCAGTTGGCATTTCCCCCCTCTCTACTGTTTGCTTAAGAACCCCCAAAATCAAAGAGAATGTTCACTATATTGCCCTTATAAGGACGTTTTTTTTTTCCGAGGGCGGGGGGGGGGGGGGGGGGGGGGGGGGGGTTCTTGGGCAAGTACTAGATATTGGGTACGAGAGGGTTCTTTCGACGGATGTTTTTCAGAGTGTTTTTAGGGGCCACCCTGGAAGATGTATGCAATGCTAGGGGTAGGGGAAAGGGGGTTTAGGGTGTAGGGTTTAGGGTATAGGGTTTGGGGTTTGGGGTTTGGGGTTTGGGGTTTGGGGTTTGGGGTTTGGGGTTTGGGGTTTGGGGTTTGGGGGCGGGGGAGGGGGGGGGGGGGGGGGGGGGGTCAAATTTTTCAGGGAGGGGGTGAATTACACCTGGCATGCCACTTACTCCCATCAACGTAGAGCCTAAAGTAGCTTTGATGAACGCCTAGCAGGGCATTAAACTTTAGCTTTCATTCTCGGATGCCGAGAAGTACCCCAAGCCCTATTAAACCAATTGCGAATGTGCGATCGTCAGTTCTCATGTCGAGACTGTCCGCATGACCCTAGACCCTAAACCCTAAACCCGGATAACTTACAAAGTATAAACCTGCCGAAGCCCGAAAATCGGGGCACCCCATGTTTCGGGAGACCCCGGGTACTGCAGTTTTTTCCTAAACCCTCAACCCTCAACCCTAAACCCTCAACCCTAAACCCTAAATGGTTGAGGCTTAGAGTCTAGGACCACAGCTCCAGGCACAGAGTTGGCTGCTCGGCCCCTGGTGCTCCAGGGTTACGAAAGCTATTGCGGAAACCCAAAAACTGGTTTAGGGTTTCGGGTTTTTGGGTTTAGGCTTGAGAGATTTGGAGTTGAGGGTATCCCGTTACAAAGTATATATAACGATAGAATACACTACCCCACAAGGAAGACCATGGCCCCTGTATGTCTGGTCCAGATGTCAACCCTAAACCCTGAACCCTAAACCTTAAACCTTCAACCTTAAACCCCAAACCCTTAAACCCTAAACCCCGAACCCGACAACCCGCTTGAGTCTGCAACCGCCGTCGGACCTTGAGCTGAGATTGTTCTGCGCGAACTTGTTTCCTGCTCGATCCGAAACCGTCGCCCAAACTTAGTTGGGTCCTTGAACCCTAGACCCGAAACCCCAAACCCTAAACCCCGAACCCCAAGCCCTGAACCCTAAACCCTAAAACCCTAAACCCTAAACGTGGGGCTTTCGTCGATGGACCTCCTCTCAGCTGGAGTTTTTCGTGGTTTGGCGAGTTTGTGCGACTACTGCCCGGAACCCTCCTCCCTCCTCTCTCTAGTGGTTCTGCTGATTTCGGGCGTCGGCTCTTTTATTCAATGGAACACTGGGAACACCAAATCTTGAATGGGACACGTTACTATGCTTGGAGAAGAGGTCTGGAAAAACAGAACTTTAAGACTTTAGGAGCTGGGTAGTTAACTGTTTGGCTGGATATATATATATATATGTATAAATATATATATATATATATATATATATATATAATTATACGGCAAATAGAAAGCGTGGACCATGGCTAGGTATTCAGGCCCAAAAAGGAAGTGAGCCGGCCCAAGCAGACCCTCGCGTGCTTTGGCTGAGGCGGAGCTGCGCCAGCGCATCAAGCAGGCGAGGCTTTCATTCTGGGGCTTTGCGCTGAACTTTGGTGTGATGATTTCATGTTTACCGTTCTCCGTGTACCATTGCTACAATTAGGTAGGTGCTTGGGTGTCTCTGAGGTTTTTGGGGTGTGGAAGAGATTTCTCCGACTTTCTGCAGGTCGGGGAAGTGCGGTTGGTTGAGGGCTTTACGGCCCTCAAGGCTGCAGTATCCTTCCCGGCTCTGAGGTTGACACGAGGTGAGGGGTGGACGCCCAGGAATTGGAGGTTGGGGGGGAGTGATGCCCAATGTTGCACCGCGGCCCTGCTACTTTCTGGCTCAGTATCACGTAGCCACTGGAGTGGGAGAGGGGACGAGTCCCCCCCTTTAGAGCAGAGCCATGCGCGCCTTGTTCCTGGGCCATTGTTGACACATCACTTTACCATTCTTTGTGGATACTTCAGCCCAATAAGGAACAAAAATGATCCTTTTTAAATAGTACCCCGACAAATGGTGCAGGTTCCGTCGAGAGGGTCGGCAGTGGCTGCGACAAGCCCGCGGCTTCGCCGCCGCGGCCCCCGCCGCCGAAGCGAAGAAGGCGTCCGCGGCCACCTTGGGCAAGGTCTCCCAGGCGCCTTGGGCCTTTGAAGGCAGATGTCCTCTGAACATGTTCCCTTCTTTGGGGGGGGCTTTTTTATAAAAGGGAATCTGTTGTCCCAGTGTTTTTGGAGGATTTTTCAAGAGGACCTTGTTTTTGTGGAATATATGTTTGGTCGGGACATGGGGTTTGAGAAGTTCCTAGGTGATTGGCGCCGTGGTGGACGTCCAGTTTGACACGGTGCCTTGGCTTTCTTCTGGCTGGCTCTTAGGACTATAACCTTTTTGGGTTGTGGAAGAAGCTACAACAAGGAGCCCAAAAGTTAAAGTTTTTGGAGGGGTTCAGAAGTCAGCCAAGGTGCTGCCGCCCATCCTCAACGCGCTGGAAGTGCAGGGCTTCGAGCACCGCCTCGTCTTGGAGGTGGCCCAGCACTTGGGAGAGAACATGGCGCCTTGGGCCTCGAAACGTTTAGGGTTTAGGGTTTAGGGTTTAGGGTTTAGGGTTTAGGGTTTAGGGTTTAGGGTCGAGGGTCTAGGGTTTAGGGTTTAGGGTTTAGGGTTTAGGGTTTAGGGTTTACGAAAATAGGGGACCCCCAAGATGGACCCCCAAATAGCAGGATTCCCTTAAAAACAAGGACCCCGAGAAGGTACCCTTCGAATTTCGGACACCCCCATGTAACAAAAAGCGTGGAAAGGCGGCGTCCTAACAATCCTCCCCCCCCTCCCTCCCCTTCCCCCACAGAGGGCCCTTTTTCGTCCTGAAAACCCCTACTTGGAGGTTCAAAAAGTAAGGTTATAAGTATGGTAATTACATTTATAACCCCACTTAGGGTACTTGAAACCCTACTTATAACTACCCACGCACCTCCAAGTACCCCTAAACCCTAAACCCCAAACCCTAAAAAACCCTAGGTGCGGACCATTGCCATGGACGGGACGGATGGTCTCACGCGCGGCCAGTTGGTGGAGGACACCGGTGCGCCCATCACGGCGCCTCGGCACTTGATCAAGCAAGAGGAAGACCTAAACCCCCTAAGCCCTGAACTGAACCCGAACCACAGGTGTTGCCAGTTTCACGCGAGCCCTAAACCCTAAACCCTAAACCCTAAACCCTAAACCCTAAACCCTAATAAACCCTAATAAACCCTAATAAACCCTGAACCCTGAACCCTGAACCCTGAACCCTGAACCCTGAACCCTGAACCCTGACCCTGAACCCTAAACCCTAAACCCTAAACCCTAAACCCTAAACCCTAAACCCTAAACCCTAAACCCTAAACCCTAAACCCTAAACCCTAAACCCTAAACCCAAACCCTAAACCCTCAAGGGCAGGGCCTAGGGGGCGCTTAGGGCTTGAAATTCAGGTGCCAGTGGGTGAGCAGACGCTGGGCCGGATCATCAACATTATCGGCGAGCCCATTGACGAGCTCGGGCCCATCGACACCAAGAAGCTGCTCCGAAAGCACAAGGGGTTTAGGGTTTAGGGCTAAGGTTTAGGGTTTTAGGGTAGTAGGGTTTTTAGGGTTTTAGGGTTTTAGGGGGTTTAGGGTTCAGGTTTAGTTTATTCTGGTACCCTATATCCCTAAGCCTCAAAAGCCCTAAACCCTATGTAATCCCTTCCGTTTACGATACCATGTAAAGGGGAGATACAAGGGTTCTTGAATTCTTGGGAAAACGCGAAAGGCCTGAAAACTGCAGCCTAGGCGCCATTGTTTGGGGGCTTTGGCCTTAAGATGTAGCAAATTAGGGTTTAGGCTTCGGGGTTTAGTGTTTAGGGTTGGAAAAGCATCTTGGAGCGTTCTGCAATGGGCAACAAGGCCGCCGCACACTGAGTCTCACGCACACTCCCCTGCTCAGGGTTGCGTGTGCCGCTGAAGTGCACCGAATTGACGAGTCCCCCCCCCCCCTTCACGGGCGGCTGAGTGATCTTCCAAATTCCCGAGCAAAATTCTCGCAGAGCTGACCATGTAGAGAGGAAGAAGGCAGGACATATCTGTAAGGCCCCCAGCTTCCGAAGCCTATATACTTACACCCTAAACCCTACACCCTAAACCCTAAACCCTAAACCCTAAACCCTAAACCCTAAACCCTAAACCCTAAACCCTAAACCCTAAACCCTAAACCCTAAACCCTAAACCCTAAACCCTTACACACTCTGTCGCCAAACCTTGATGGCCTCCAAGGTTCTACGCCATCCACAGGCCCGACACCCTGCGGGATCCCTTTAAAGTGTTTTCAGGGTGATTGAAAAGTGGGTTTAGGGTTTAGGGTTTAGGGTTTAGGGTTTAGGGTTTAGGGTTTAGGGTTTAGGGTTTAGGGTTAAAAGTCTCTAGCCCATAAAGTGTTTCAGGGTGATAGGGAGGCCCTTGGGATATTTTATGTTATCCCTTCTTGGGTTTAATAGGCCTTCACTGCCCAGACCGGTCCTTCTTGAGGGTTTGGGCTTTGTAGGGCTTGGGGCTTAGGGCTTAAAACTTCGGGCTTCGGGCTTAGGCTTGGGGCTTAGGGCTTTAGGCTGAATTCTTTGGGCTTAAGACTTTTGGGGCTTGGGGCTTGGGTCCTAAACCCTAAACCCTAAACCCTAAACCCTAAATAAACCCTTAACCCTTGTCACTTTCAGGCCGACCCCGATCTTCACGGAGATGAACACCACGGCGCAGCAGCTTCTCACGGGCATCAAGGTGGTGGACCTGCACCTGGGATTCAAAATGCTTCCTAAAGCAAATATACTAATAGTCAATCGGGTTTAGGGTTTAGGGTTTAGGGTTTAGGGTTTAGGGTTTAGGGTTTAGGGTTTAGGGTTTAGGGTTTAGGGTTTAGGTTTAGGGTTTAGGGTTTAGGGTTTAGGGTTTAGGGTTTAGGGTTTAGGGTTTAGGGTTTAGGGTTTAGGGTTTAGGGCAAATATACTACTAGGTTGGTTTTTGGGACATTTTGTGTTTTCCTTATTTGGGTTTATAAGGGGCCCTATATATAAATATGTTTCAGAGGGTTTAAAGGGCAACCCAGATTAATGTTCTATCAAAAGTATAGCATATAAGAATCATAATTTCTGAAAAATATGGCATATAGAAGAATATTCTTAAGAAACCCAAGCCTTACTCTCTCAGTAGTAGAGTAGGCACCCCTTAACCTTTTTGGGGTATTCCATTCCCTCTATTGATAATCCTACAGGCTATGCTTTAGTTCCCCTAAGATGCTGGACGACTACGTGCTGGCTCAACACCCCTGCATGCTTTTCAACCAACCCTGAACCCTGAACCCTGAACCCTTACTTGGGAGGTTCATGGTAGTTCTAAGTAGGGCTACAAGTACCCTAAGTGGGGTGATAAGTATACTTCCCATACTTATAACCGTACATATATAGCTACCCATGAACCTCCAAGTAACCCCAAACCCTAAACTAACCTAAGCTTAGATTTCACCAACCATTCAGTTGCATCTGAGACTTTCAGAGCTTTACGAAGTGCTGAAGGGTCTCTCGGAGTGCAGGGCGCTTTTTGGGGCAAAGGGGTTTCGGATGTCAGTCTCCTAAACCCCTCCGTTAATTGGGGTTTAGGTTCCCCTATAGAACCCTTTAAACCAAGAGGGGGCACCCTTTTTTTTCTCCTAGATTACTGTCGTCTAGACCCTGAACCCTTAAGTTGCGGACCCTGGCCGGTGACTCCCACCTCTTCAGCAGAGTAGGCTCGTCTAGCCAAGGGCATCCAAGGCAATCAGGGGTTGAGGATCTGCAGGGTGATTCCTATTTGCTTCTAAGAACCACCCAAAAACATATAGATATTCTTCCTCAATAGGGCAGTATACGGATGATCACTCTGTATTTTTGGGAGGGCTCTTTAGCAAATAGTAGATGCGGGTTTCAGAAGAAAACGCAGTATAGCCACATGTAGGCGGATCTCCATGGCTGCCTCATGCTGAGACAGGAAAGCCCTAAACCCTAGGCCCTAAGCCCTAAACCCTAAAACCCTAAGCCCTAAACCCTAAACCCTGAACCAAAGGGAGCAGGTTCTTGTAGACCCAAAACCGCGAGAAAGATGCGGAACAACCACCTTGGGATGTTCCCTATGCTAGCAGGCCTTAGTAGGGATTATAGGACCCCTATTAAAATCCCTAATAAGCACTGTTAGTATAAGGGGGAACATGCCAACAACCACCCCCAAAAACAGCGAATTGTCCGACCCAGGTTGGCACCCTATGCCAAAGGAGGAGTCGCGTCATAGGGTTTAGGGTTTAGGGTTTAGGGTTTAGGGTTTAGGGTTTAGGGTTTAGGGTTTAGGGTTTAGGGTTTAGGGTTTAGGGATGCTGGCAGTTGTGGCGGGTTTGCTGTTGAGGGTTCAGCACTGCATCTCGTACCGCAGTATGTACCTCTGCAGGAGCTGCATAGGGCATAGGATGAGCAGGAAAAGAAAGCGGTTTTGAGCACGTCATGTTGCGAAACTCCGATGAACCCTGAACCCTAAACCGGCTTGGGCATGCTTTGCGCTGGCTTGCTCGGAGGAAAGATCGGACTTTTCGGCGGTGCCGGCGTCGGCAAGACGGTCCCATTCCCGGCAGTTGAGAGACCTCCCGTCCTTTTTTCACCCTAAACCCTAAACCCTCAACCCTAAACCCTAAACCCTAAACCCTAAACCCTAAACCCTAAACCCTAAACCCTAAACCCTAAACCCTAAACCCTAAACCCTAAACCCTAAACCCTAAACCCTGACCCTAGAACCCTTAACCCTAGGTCGTGATCATGGAGCTGATTCACAACATCGCCCTCAAGCTGCTCGGATCGCAAGTTGTTATAGGACTTAGAGCTAAGGACTCTGATGTCAGGCTTGTTGGGCCTAAAGGCCCGCTTAAGTAAGGCTTTTTGGCTATTTTGAGCCATAGGGTCCGGGTTTAGCGGGTGTTAATTATTAAGGTGGGGGGGGGGGGGGGGGGGGGGGGGGTGAGTAGTCGAGTAGGTATGCGTCGTGCATGCCTGTAGAACCCGAAACGTTTAGTTTAAGATCACTCAGGTCCATTCGGAGTCGAAACCATTGGCACCCCAAATCCACTACAACCCCCCTAAACCTGAATCCCTGAACCCTAAACCCAAACCCAAATCTGAACCGTCAGAGGCACGGTGGCTACAGCGTTTTCGCTGGAGTGGGCGCGGGCCTCAGTAAAATCGGTTTGGGTTTGCGGCCCCCAACGCCTTGGATTCAGAGTTGCAGTTGAGGGTCTCTTCGGGTTTGCGCTTACAGTCAGTGCGTATGGCACTTGCGGGTCAAGCATGCTCCACGCAGGAGCAAAGTTTATCAGGGGGCCGGAGAACTTTCAGCTTTGGTAAGCCATGGGGCTAACCACCCAAGCCAAGGCCCTAAATACTCCTGGTGGTAGCATCGTGGGTTTAGGGTGTAGAGGGCTTTAGGGATCAGGGTTTAGGGTTCAGGGCTTTGCCCCCTAGACCCTAAACCCTAAACCCTAAACCCTCCGCTTGTTTGTGCCCGAGGTGAGCGCACTCGTGAAGGCAACGACCTCTACCATGAGATGATGGCCAGTGGTGTCATCAAGAGCCCTGGCATTTGGGGTTGAGGGTGTTTGCATGGCTTCAGGGTTTTAGGGTTTAGGGATGTGGGATTGTCTAAGAATATTCAACATACCCCTTGGGCATACCCTTAAAAGAAATTGAGGGGTATGGTAATATCCTCCCTTAGACTCCCTCAGAATTTCCTTTTGTAGGTTAAGGGGTATGGGTTTGGGGTGTGGTGAATGCTTCTTAGAGTTCAGGGCTTAGGGTTGCATGGCTTCAGTGCTTCAGCTCTGAGTTCACCGGGGTGGATGGTGGACTTTTTGTTGGTATTTAGGGTTTAGGGTTTAGGGTTTAGGGTTTAGGGTTTAGGGTTTAGGGTTTAGGGTTGTTGGTATCGGTGCGGTTACTTGGCCTGCTCTTGTGAGATCACAAGACGACGCTTCAGCCAGAACAATTTGGAGTCCCTGTTCTTCGTCCCCATATGAGAAGAACCTAAAGTTTCTAGTAGGCCTCAAGGTAGGGGTGAACGAGTTGGAACCCAAAACCCCAAAAACCCTAAAGCCCAAAAACCCTAAAGCCCAAAAACCCTAAACCCCAAAAACCCTAAACCCCAAAAATCCTAAACCCCAAAAACCCTAAGCCCCAAAAACCCTAAACCCCAAAAACCCTAAACCCCACACCCCCAAAACCCTAAACCCCCAAAACCCTAAACCCCCAAAACCCTAAACCCCACACCCCCAAAACCCTAAACCCCCAAAACCCTAAACCCCAAAAACCCTAAACCCCACACCCCCAAAACCCTAAACCCCCAAAACCCTAAACCCCACACCCCCAACCCAAAAACCCTAAACCCCAAAAACCCTAAACCCCAAAAACCCCAAACCCCAAACCCAAAATCCGAAAACCCCAAATCCTTGGGGCCTCTCCCGGGAGTGCGAGGTTCAGGGTGTCTTTCGGGGCGGCATTCGCCCTTAGCTTCGGGGGCCCTTTTGTTCACCCGGAAGGCCTATGGTGAAGCAGTGGGGTTTAGGGTTTGGGTTTAGGGCTTAGGGTTTAGGGTTAGGGTTTAGGTGTTAGGGCTTAGGGTTTAGGGTTTGGGGTTTAGGCTTAGGGCTTAGGGCTTAGGGCTTAGGGCTTAGGGCTTAGGGCTTAGGGCTTAGGGCTCAGGGCTCAGGGCTTAGGGCTTAGGGCTTAGGGCTTAGGGTTTAGGGTGTAGGGTTTAGGGTTTAGGAGCAAGCGCGAAAAAACGGCAGAAGAGTCGACAACCGAAGAACTCCGCCCGCCCAGGAAGGACAAAGCGCCAGGCTCCAAGGTCCTTCGCTCAGCTTCCACTTGGCTTTAGGTTTCAGGGTTCTGGCTTTGGAGTTTATGGTTTAGGGATGTGGGTGGTTTTGGGTTTGGGTCTCTAGGCTAGTTTTTCATCGGTGTGTTATCACAGTACCATAAGTCTGAGAGAGGTCTAAAGGCTGCGTAGAGTTCACAAGCGTGGTTTACACTTTCGAGGCCTTAAACTCAAATTCGCTCGTAGTGGAACTTCACATGCACTGTGAGTTTAGGGTTTAGGGTTTAGGGTTCCGGGCTTTCGAGTTCAGAATTGAGGCTTGAGGGTTGTACGACTTGGAGTTCAAGAGGGCTCGGGGTGCATATTGGGTTGCAGGGTCGTTGAGGGCCTTCTATGGCTTCGGATCATGCACCCTAAACCCGAAACCGTAAACCCTAAACCCTAGCCCTAAACCCTAAACCCTGGCCCTAAACCCTAAACCCTAAACCCTAAACCCTAAACCCTAAACCCTAAACCCTAAACCCTAAACCCTAAACCCTAAACCCTAAACCCTAAACCCTAAACCCTAAACCCTAAACCCTAACCCTTTCGAGGCCGCCCTGGTGTATGGCCAGATGAACGAGCCCCCTGGCGCCCGCGCCCGCGTGGCCCTGACGGGGCTCACCGTGGCGGAGTACTTCCGTGACGAGGAGGGCCAGGACGCGGGCACAGCACCCCAAACCCTAAGCCACGCCGCCAAGCTGGAATTGAAGGTGTAGGGTTTAGGGTTTAGGGTTTAGGGTTTAGGGTTTCGGGTTTCGGGTTTAGGGTTTATAGGGTTTAGGGTTTAGGGTGAAAGCTGATGTCACTTGAGACGATGAGACTTGGGAAGCTGTGCTGAGGCTGGGGGAGGTCTCGCCCTGGCTAAGAAGTCTCTGCCTAAGGGTTGAGAGTTTAGGTCAGCACCCTCCTCCCGAAGCCCTTAAACCCCAAACCCTAAACCTTAAACCCTAAACCCTAAACCCTAAACCCTAAACCCTAAACCCTAAACCCTAAACCCTAAACCCCAAACCCCAAACCCCAAACCCCAAACCCCAAACCCCCAACTCGACTCTTCCGGGAGGATGTGCTGCTGTTCGTCGACAACATCTTCCGCTTCACCCAAGCGGGCTCCGAGGCACGCCAAGAGCAGGGTCACAGTTTAGGGTTGAGGGTTTTAGGGTTTTAGGGTTTAGGGTTTAGGGTTTAGGGTTTAGGGTTTAGGGTTTAGGGTTTAGGGTTTAGGGTTTAGGGGCTGTAGGGGCCTCTAGGGCTTGGAGTGCTATTAGAGGGTTTCAGTGACCCGTTAACCTATTCAAGCGCAGGGGGCTTGTAAGCCCTACATCTTACATAAGAACCTTTGCAAGTGCCCTGTCAAAAACAGAATGCAGTCTTGTACCCTACAAGAACTCCATATTCACCTGTAATACCCTGTGTACGCCCTACCGTTCTGTCCCGATGAGCATCCGATCCAGCGAACCCTTTACTCGTTCTGACGTTGAGCGCCGAACGGCTCGCTTTGCTAGTGTTAGGGTTCCGGGTGCAGGGTTTGAGGGCTTCGGAAGATGTGCCCCCAAAACCCCAAAGCCTTTCGGATTTCGGGTTTTGTCCCTACAAGCCTGCCACTGTAGCAGTGTACTAAACCCTAAACCCTAGAAAACCGAACCGTCCCCAAACTCCCTGAGATCCCCGAACTTTACAAACGCTGGAAAGTCTGAAGCCGTTCCAACTCCAACCACGACACCAAGGCCCTAAAGAATCACTAAACCCCCCAAGACCTATCTGAAGCTGAAAGACTCAAGCGCTAAACCATGGTGTGCCTCCAGGGTTTAGGGTTTAGGGTTTAGGGTTTAGGGTTTAGGGTTTAGGGTTTAGGGTTTAGGGTTTAGGGTTTAGGGTTTAGGGTTTAGGGGAAATTCAGGCATTAGGTCCCCCATCGGCTCCGGAGAGGGGTTGTAGAGGGGCACTGAAGAGCCCTAGCTCCCCCAAGCCCTAAACCCACTAGACAGGGCCCTGGGATGTTTTTCTTTTTTTAATATATATATATATATATATATGTATATGTTTTTTTTCCCTATTTTAGGGTTTAGGGTTTAGGGTTTAGGGTTTAGGGTTTAGGGTTTAGGGTTTAGGGTGGGTTTCAGAGGATCCTATCCAGGAATAATGTTCAGAGTTGTTTTTATAGGACCATCCAAGGCAAAAATAGGTTGTCTTGACCTCCACTACTAATTGCGTAAGATCCCCGGAAAAACAATAAATCAATCAATCAATCAATAAATACAAAACTATATATATATATATATATGCTTCCTTTATTAAGGGCAATATAGGGATAATTATGTTTTTATTCTTTTGGGATTCTTAAGGAAATAGTAGTAACCTGATATTATTATTTGTCTTATTCTTTTGGGATTCTTAAGCAAAGAGTAGTCCAACCCTAAACCCTAAACCCTAAACCCTAAACCCTAAACCCTAAACCCTAAACCCTAAACTCCAGGTGTCTGCACTTCTCGGTCGCATTCCCAGTGCCGTGGGCTACCAGCCCACCTTGGCTACCGACTTGGCGTCGCTGCAGGAGAGCGACGCTTATAGGGTTTAGGGTTTAGGGCTTGGGGTTTAGGGTTTAGGTTTAGGGTTTAGGGTGAATCGAGACGCTTGATTTGGGTGTTTTAGCACCGACACCGACGTTGTTCTGGTGGATTGTTCCACTTCCTTTGGGTCCTAAACCCTAAGCCCTGAACCCTACACCCTACTTGCAGCACCACACAAGGCACTTTCCGCCGCAGCTTCTAAGCTTGCAAAGCACAAGCAAGCAATGTCAACCTGTTCTTGGAACCGGGCAACCGCAATGCACATGGTTGCAGAAGCCAAACACATGTGTGTGTGTGAGCATGTAGTCGGCGAGCAACGGAGGAAGAAGAAGAAGAACAAGAGCCATAGAATCTCGAAACCAAAAAGGGCCCAACCCTAAACCCTTAGGGGCTGGGTAGTTAACCTTGGACCTTTTTGGGTTATATCTTATCCTATTGCCAATAAGCGGTTAACCTCTATTTGGGCTAGGGTTTTCAGACCTTTATTTGGGCTAGGGTTTTCAGCCCCCAACCCGAGTGGATTGCCATTGGGGGCCCCGGTGGTCAAAACGATTGGCCACTCTTTGCAGGAGATTGGTGAGGTTTAGGAAGTGTTTAAGGTTTAGGGTTTAGGGTTCAGGGTTCAGGGTTCAGGGTTTAGGGTTTAGGGTTTAGGGTTTAGGGTGTGCCAATAATGAACTCATTCATGGGTGCACTTTGTTCTCCCTGCATTCTTTAAGGGTTTGGGGTTCGGGTTGGGGTTTTGGGGCTTCCCTGGAATCCGCCTTAAAGAAAGTCCGAAATCGCACAAGGCCCTCCCTTCGCAGCCCTACATCCCTTTTATTTGGGGTTCGGGATGCTCAGGGTTTAGGGTTTAGGGTTTAGGGTTTAGGGTTTAGGGTTTAGGGTTCAGGGTTTAGGGCTTAGGGCTTAGGGCTTAGGGCTTAGGGGTTTGCATTGCCCGCAAGATGCCAAGAAAGGAGCGCATCACAACCACCCAGAAGGGCTCCATCACCTCGGTCCAGGCCGCGTCGGCGAAGCCCATTTTCGGGTAGGTTCGTGTATTCGGTGCTGGGGGGCGGGGGGGGTACCCGAAGCCTTAAACCCCAAACCTCGGGCACTTTAGAGTTTTAAGTGTTGAAAGCCCTACGCCCCTAAACCCTACTACACCCAAAACCACAAAACCCTAAGAATCCGAACTCTAGACTCCACACTCTACACCTCGAAGCTGCCGGTATTCTCAGCCGCAAGCCCCAAACCCTAAGCCCCAACATTCAGCCCATTAAACCCCTAAACCCCTAAAGCCCTATCCCGAAATATGACAACTGGGTTTAGGGTTTCCCCACTCCCTGAATTATACCAAACCCCCCTCTCAACCTCCTCCATTCCGACCCAGGCCCCCCCCTAAACCCTAAACCCTAAACCCTAAACCCTAAACCCTAAACCCTAGGCCGTCTACGTCCCTGCCGATGACCTGACCGATCCGGCGCCCGCTTCGAACTCAGAGGGGGGCCAATTCAGGGCTTAGGGGTTTTAGGGGTTTTAGGGGTCTTAGGGGTCTTAGGGGTCTTAGGGGTCTTAGGGGTTTTAGGGGTTTTAGGGGTTTTAGGGGTTTTAGGGGTTTTATGGGTTTTAGGGGTTTTAGGGGTTTTATGGGTTTTAGGGGGTTTATAGGGTTTAGGTTTTGGGGGGGATGGTTCAGCGTAGGGTTTAGGGTTTAAGGTTTTGGTTGAGGGTTTTGGGATTTAGGGCGCAAGCGTGCAGTGGTGTAAGGGGCCTAGGGAGTCGAACTATTCAGCGCTTTAGGGTTTAGGAGCGTTCTCCCCTTGCCAGCCCTGAATTCGGGGACAGATCTTAAGCTCCGTAGGGGGGGGGTGGGGGGGGCTGGGGGTTAGGAGGGGGAGCTTTACGGCTCGCAAAACAACTACGAGTACTCAGGTGGGGGGTTGAGGAAGTCCTTTAGGACGACTAATGCGTGACAAGAAACCAAAACGGCCTGGCGGGTTAGGGTTTGGGGTTCAGGATGCAGGGTTTAGGGTTTAGGGCTTAGAAGGCACGCGACTCTGTCCCTAAACCCTAAACCCTAAACCCTAAACCCTAAACCTCTCCCTATCACTTGGTGAATTCCTTGCTTTCTTCGGGCGCAAGACCGAGGCCACCACCTTCGCCCACCTGGATGCCACCACGGCGGCGACCTCAGGGCGGAACGCGACCACTTTTACACCCCTCAACCCTAAACACTAAACCCCAAACCCTAAACCCCAAACCCTAAACCCTAAACCCTAAACCCTAAAACCCCTACACCCTTCGAGCCATGAACTTACCAGGCTTAAAACTCGCAACCCCCAAACCCAGCCCCCTAAACCCCTCTTAGGATTCAGGGACGAGCGCTCAGGTCCCGAAATCCCAAAAAAACCCTGGTTTAGGGTTAAGGGCTTGGGCTTAGGGTTTAGGGTTAGGGGTTTAGGGTTTAGGGTTAGGGGTCTAGGGTTTAGGGGTAAAAGACCTAAACCACTAAAACCCCTACAAACGAAAGCCCTAGTGTGCCATGTGTTGTTGGGGGGGAGTTTAGGGTTTCAAGGTTTGGGGGTTTTGGAGTTTTAGGGTTTTCGGGTTGTAGGGTTTTAAGGTTTTTAGGGGCTTAGGTTCAGGATTTAGGATTTAGGGTTTAGCGTTTAGGGTTTAGGGTTTAGGGTTTAGGGCTGCATGCCCAGGTTTTGTCCCGCCAGATTGCAGAGCTCGGAATCTACCCGGCTGTGGACCCACTGGATTCCACGTAGGAGGCTGAGCTACACTTTATGGTACTTTACTATAACTTTAGATCTTTAGCCTTTTTGGGTTGATTGGGTTTCTTAATAAGGCAGCTAAAATTTTAATTTCTAGCTACCCTCCTAAGTGCAGCCAAGTACAGCTTCGGGGCAGAACTGACCTGTGCACGCAATGTGAGTGGAGGGGTGGGGGGGGTTGAGCAAAATGAAGGGACCTCGGGGTCTCTGCAATTCTAGGATGCCCAGTAGTACCCTTATTCCCTTTTTGGTAGGTTTAGGTTCCCTTATAAACCCCTTTAAGCAAAAAAGGGCACCCTTTCTCATCCTCGTTTACTGGGCAACCTAGAATTGTACAATCCTGAAAGTTTGGAGTACAAGAGAACGGGCCCATAATTTTGAGCCCCGTGTTGAGAGGAAGTGCTTGTGCGTCTCTGTGCCGGTGCGCACGCGCACATTGCGATTACATCTAAGGTGCCGGTAGAGAACCATCTTTGCAACTTCCTGCAGACGCCTGAAGCCTGAAGCAGGCATGACTCAGTTCTTCACACCATAACCCTGAATGCTACGCCCTAAACCCTAAACCCTAAACCCTAAACCCTAAACCCTAAAAGCTCCATGTCCTCCGACAAAGTGAGCTCATCCTCCCCCCCAGGTCGCGAATGCTTGACCCATCGATCGTCGGACAGCGCCTCTAGGTTGCTTTGGTCTAGGGAGCCCTCAACCTTTATCCCCCTTGGGTATTATTTTTTGTTTATATAAAACCCAAGAGGATATTTAAATTATATTATGTGTATTAAGGTTCTAAGGGGAGTATCGAAGCTGAAAGCCTGAAACCTAAACCCTCAACTCCAAAGGGTGTTTAGGATCTAGGGTGTACGAAGTTCTTTCCTTGGGGGTGGGTGGGAGGCTGACCCTAAGTTAGAAACTCACCATCTCTCGTTAGAATGGAAGAACTTCTGGCGTGGCTTAGGTGATCTTCCGAAAGAAATGAACCCAGGTTGGGAGGGAGCTTTCAGGACTGAATGTTTGTGCTTATTGCTGTTTAGGGTTTAGGGTTTAGGGTTTAGGGTTTAGGGTTTCAGGTCTTAAGTCTTGCTAAGAGATGCACTCCTTCTTGTCGAAGAGCAGACATCAATACACACCACTGCACCCGCGTGCCGTCGCGCACCCCTGCTTTCTCTTGTTGCAGATACGCAGGGGCAGAACCCTAAACCCTAAACCCTAAACCCTAAACCCTAAACCCTAAACCCTAAACCCCAACATGCCACTGCATCTTCCAGTGCCCTAAACCCCAAAGCCCGGCACCCTGCACCCTGCCATGCACAAGGTCACTACGACATTGCCCGCAGCACGCAGAAGATTCTGCAAGACTACAAGTCCTTGCAGGAGACGGGCAGAAGCACTTGCCATACCCTAAACTCTACATCCTAAACCCTTAAGTTGTTAAGAGTTCTTGGTGGCGGAACTGACCAAGTTCGGTTGCAGAGTCGACTGCCGCAAGAAGTCACAGGCCCGTGAGGATCTATCGACACGACCTCCCCCCCACCCCAAAAACAAAGTGCAACTTCGCAGGATTAAAGTTCAGGGTTTCGAGCCGGAGTATAATGTCTTGGTAAGTCATACTCTCTACACCCGAAATAAACACCAAACCCTAAACACGTAAATCCCTAAACCCCTAAACCCCAAATCCTAAACCCCTAAACCGCGTGGCAGGACATCATTGCTATCCCTAAACCCCTAAACCCTAAACCCTAAACCCCTAAACCCCTGAACCCCTGAACCCTAAACCCCTAAACCCCTAAACCCCTAAACCCTAAACCCTAACCCTAAACCCTACAGGACATCATTGCCATCCTGGGAATGGATGAGCTCTCCGAGGAGGACAAGCTCACCGTGGCCCGAGCTCGCAAGGTGTGGCGCTTGGGGGGGGGGGGGGTTTAGGGTTTAGGGTTCAGGGTTTAGGGTTTAGGGTTTAGAAGTTTAGACCCAATAAACCTTACAGCCCTGAAACCTACATCCCGAAACCCCAAAACGCTTTCAGCCCTCAAGGCTACATCTCTAAAGCCAAAAAACTGTAAACTCTTAGCCCTAAATCCCTAAAACACTAAGGCCGAAACGTGAGGGTGGGCTTCCACCGGCAGTGGCCAAATCCCTCAAGCGATCGCCATTGCAAGCCTTTCTGGGTTTAGAGTTTTGGGTTCAGGGTTCAAGGGCGTAATCAGGTTTACGGATCCCAAGCCCTTAGAGTTTCAGTTTTGGGGGTTCAACGGTTTAGGGTTGAAGACCCCCAAACCCTGAAGCCCTGAAACCTTAAACATCTGAAGCCCGAAGAAGTGTTAAGCCCCCAGCCAGACCAAGAAGGGCTCGAGGTCTGACTTAAAGAAGGATGCTACTAGCATGGCGGAGGTAGCTTCCTCAACTAGGGCCCCTTCTTTGTGGGGGTACCCCATTCTAAGGCGGCACCCTCTAAAAGGGGTCCCAAAAAAGGACCCGAGTTAGAGAACTCAGCATGGGCCACACTCCGCTTGAGCGGAACCCACGGACCAGCCCCCTAAACCCTAAACCTTAAACCCTAAACCCTAAACCTTAAACCCTAAACCTTAAACCCTAAACCCGAAATCCTAAAAACCAGCCAGGTCCAGCGATTCTTGTCACAGCCATTCTTTGCCCAGGGCTCAGTGGTCCGCAGTGTTCGGGCAGCGGCGAAGCCCCCAAAAACCCTGAATCCCCCAAAGCCCAAACCTTCAAACCCCAAGACTCTAAACCCTAAACTCTAAACCCGAAACCGTAAGCCCTAAACCCTAAACCCGAACGCTCAACCGTCCTAGAAACCCCTAATTCGCTTTGTATGACTTGGGGCCGTGGCCAGTGCGTGATGCCGCCTTTGCCGAGGGCTTGGGGGTTTAAAGCCCAGGATGTTGTGTAGGCATTTATTCCCTTCAAGTCCTTGAGCCCTTAAACCCTGAAGCCTACACCTAAAAACCCTAAATCCTACAACCCTAAACCCTAAACCCCCTAAACCCAAATCCCTAAACCCAAAACTAAACCCTAAACCCTGAACCCTAAACCCCAAACCCCAAACCCTAAACCCTAAACCCCCCCCCCGTTACCGAAAGGTGGCCGAGATCTTCACGGGCACCCCCGGAGCCTTTGTGGATTTGGAGACCACCATCAACGACTTCGAGGAGGCCCCTGGGCCTTCTTTTGTGGGCCCCAAAGCCGTTGTGGGTTTAGGGTTTGGGGTTTGGGTTTAGGGTTTAGGGTTTAGGGTTTAGGGTTTAGGGTTTAGGGTTTAGGGTTTAGGGTTTAGGGTTTAGGGTTTAGGGTTTAGGGCTTAGGGCTTAGGGCTTAGGGCTTAGGGCTTAGGTTGGTGCAGGCTTATCATCCTCCCCCAAGCATGTGGGCAATACAGCATGGTCGGCAGACTGGGAGGTCCTGCCCTTCAAAAAACAGCAATTTTTCTTCCTTCCTTGGGCAACATAGGGGACTAGTATTCTGTTTCATTGTTTTGTTTAGTGTTTTTTTTGTGTTTGGGGCGTGTGGTTCTTGAGCAAGTAAAATTAAGTAAATCTCCTGAAGCAAATAGTAAAAAGTAGTACCTTTCCTCAAGCACGAACCCCCTCAAAGCATGACTTCAACAAAAGTTCAAAGCCTGAAGTGTCCCAGGTCCTCTCCGGAAACTGCGACGACATCCCGGAGGCACGCTTGCCCCAGCAACTGCACAGTGCAGGGTCTTCCGAGGTTTAGGGTTTAGGGTATAGGGTTTAGGGTTTAGGGTGTACAGAGGCCATGCCTCCTGAACCCTAAACCCAAACCCTCAAGAGCTGTGCTTTAGGCTTGTGTAGGGCCTCAGGTTTTTGGATTTAGGACTTGGGTTGGGATTTTCCCTTTATTCCCCTATTATCCCCTAAACCCTAAACCCTAAACCCTAGCAAGGACTGTTAGTATAAGGGTGAACATCCCAAGGCTTGGGTTTGGAGATGTGCATCTTAGAGGTTTTTTTAGTTCAGGGTTTACGGAGGCTTCGGGGGGAAAGCGGGGGAGTGGGGTGCAAGGGCTTCCCTAAACCCCAAAGCCCCTGGGGTTGAGGCAGTGGGGCCGAGCCATATCCTAAGAACCTCAAACCCTACAACCCTGAAACCCTAGAACCCTACAACCCTAAACCTCAAGGCCCTCAGCAACCTTGCAAGGCCGCATTTTACATGATCGGCGGCATGGCGGATGTGAAGGAGAAGGTGGGGAAACAAGCCCTGAGCCCTAAACCCTAAACCCTAAGCCCTAAAGTAGGGAAACAAACCCATAGCTGCCTGCCCCCGATGGTTTGCCTTGTAGGCCAGAAGCCCCAAGCAATGAAATTGTCAGGGCTTATGGCTTAGGGTTTAGGGTTTAGGGTTTAGGTGTCTAAGCGAAGCATGGACCCTTTGATTGTACAAGGCATTTACGGGTTCCCCAATTAGGGACCCATTTGAAGTCTTCAACTAACATCCAGCTCTTGGTAGAAAGGTGGAGCCCGCTTGCCCTATTTGTGGTTCCAGGTTCGCTTATAAAGTAACCAACCCCCCCTTACTCATAACATGCTTGCTGGGCTACCCAGTGCGACACCCTAATCCCTGAGCTTACAGCTGAAGAAAATGCGCCCCAGGGCTTCTTAACCCTAAACCCCAAACCCTAATTCCTAAACCCTGAACCCAATCCCCCAAACCCTAAACCCCAAACCTCAAACCCTAAACCCCAAACCCTAAACCCTAAACTGGGCTTCAGCCCGAAGATCTGGGCAGGCTGCGAAGCTTGCCGCCGTGGCAGCTGGCAAGTGAGTCGGCAAGTCAAGCTCGATGTCGCATCGATGAGTAGGGACTGAAGAGCATACTCTCAGCATGGGCTCAGATGCACCACGTCAGCAGAGTAAGCTACATGATTCTCCCAGGTTCCCCTTCGCCTATCCGAGTATTAAAGGAAGCTCGCCGCCATGTTTTGGATTTCGAAAAGGTGCCGCTCCAGTCTGTGCAGGTCGAAAGAGCTCCAAAGCCCAAAACATAGGGTTTCGAGGTAAGCCGGTCAACCCAAGCCCTGATAACTCCACCTCATACTGAAACCCAAAAGTGCCTGCAAGGCCCTAGCTGTCCAAAAAACTGGACGAAGCAAGTTCCGTCCACGTGGTTTAGGGTTCAAAGGGGTTTAGGGTTCAGGGTTTGGGGTTCAAAGGGTATAGGTTTGCTCAACAAGCAGCCTCAAGCAGCTCCAGCACATGGGCACCATCACGGGTAGAGGTGTGCATACATGCGGAGACATCAACCATGAACCCTACACCCTAAACCCTAAACAGGGGACCCCTATGCGTGCTGAAGCGTAAGCTCCGGCCGTGGGATCTCTAAAGCACATGCCCCTCCCCTCTTGTTTTCGAGGCCTCCATCCTAGACCCCTGAAGTGCCATTGTACTACTATTTGCTTGAGGACCCCCGAAAATAAAAGTAACAATCACGATATTGCCCTTATAAGCAAGAATCTGTTTCTTGTTTCTTTATTATTATTATTGTTTTTATTATTTTTTTTTTTTTTTTTTAGGGGGGGGGGGGGGTGTGCAGCTTAAATAGGGTCTATTTGGAAGCTGAGACTCGTGTTTTGAAGAGGAAATCAGGCCCCAAAACGTATACTTATTTACAAGAGACAACTTCCAAATAGACCCTATTTTAGGTTCTGTAGGGTTGCCAAGACAGAATTTAATTCAATTAATTCAATTAATTCATTTATTTACACTTGGGGAGGTTGAATTAATTGAATTAATTGAATAAATTCAATTAATTCACCCTCCCTTTTGGAATTAATTGAATTAAATGAATTAATGGAATTAATTGAATTAATGGAATTAATTGAATTAATTGAATTAATTCAATTAATTCCAAATGAGGGGTGAATTAGTTGAATTAATTCAATTAATTCAGTTAATTCAATTAATTCAATTAATTCAATTAATTCAATTAATTCAATTAATTCAATTAATTCCAAATGGGGGGGTGGGGGGCTCGGGGCTGGGGGCGGGGGGGGCGGGGGGGCACCATTTGGAAATAATTGAATTAATTGAATTAATTCACCCCCCCCCCCTTTTGGAATTAATTGAATTAAATGAATTGATGGAATTAATTGAATTAATGGAATTAATTGAATTAATTCAATTAATTCAATTAATTCCAAATGGGGGGTGAATTAATTGAATTAATTAAATTAATTCAATTAATTCAATTAATTCAATTAATTCAATTAATTCAATTAATTCAATTAATTCAATTAATTCAATTAATTCAATTAATTCAATTAATTCAATTAGTTCAATTAATTCCAAATGGGGGGGGGCACCATTCCGGGCTCGTAAATTAGTATTGCGGGGAGGCCCGGGCTCGTGATTTAGTATTGGGGGGAGGCCCGGGCTCGTGATTTAGTATTGGGGGGAGGCCCGGCCTCGTAATTTGGAGGCCGGGCTCGTGATTTAGCCCGGGCTCGTGATTTAGTATTGGGGGGAGGCCCGGGCTCGTGATTTAGTATTGCGGGAAGGCCCGGGCTCGTAATTTAGTATTGGGGGGAGGCCCGGGCTCGTGATTTAGTATTGGGGGGAGGCCCGGGCTCGTGGTTTAGTATTGGGGGGAGGAGGATTCCCCAGCCCCCACCCCCCATTTGGAAATAAATGAATTAATTGAATTAATTGAAATAATTGAATTAATTCAATTAATTCAATTAATTCATTTATTTCCACAGGGGAGGTGGAATTAATTGAATTAATTGAATTAATTGAATTAATTGAATTAATTGAATTAATTGAATTAATTGAACCCCCCCTTTGGAAATAAATGAATTAATTGAATTAATTGAATTAATTGAATTAATTTGAATTAATTGGAATTAATTCAATTAATTCAATTAATTCCACCTCCCCTTTGGAAATAAATGAATTAATTGAATTAATTGAATTAGTTGAATTATTTCGATTAATTCAATTAATTCAATTAATTCAATTAATTCATTTATTTCCAAATGGGGGGGATTCCCCAGCCCCCACCCCTCCCCCCCCTTTGGAAATAAATGAATTAACTGAATTAATTGAATTAATTAAATTAATTCAATTAATTCAATTAATTCAATTAATTCATTTATTTCCAAAGGGGGGGTGGAATTAATTGAATTAATTTAATTAATTCAATTAATTCAATTAATTCAATTAATTCAATTAATTCATTTATTTCCAAATGGGGGGGATTCCCCAGACCCCCCCCCCCCAGCTCGATTTGGCCAAATTTTGCCCGGAGGCTGCCCGGCAAAATTTGGCCAAATCGAGCCGCGCCTTTCTGGAGGCCCGAAATTATTTAAACTATCGCGGCTCGATTTGGCCAAATTTTGCCGGGAAGTCTGCGGGCAAAATTTGGCCAAATCGAGCCACGCATTTCTCATCGCATACGAAGGGCAGCCCGATTTGGCCAAATTTTGCCCGGAAGCTGCCCGGCAAAATTTGGCCAAATCGAGCCGCGATAGTTCAAAAATTTCGGGCCTTCAGAAAGGCGCGGCTCGATTTGGCCAAATTTTGCCCGGAGGCTGCCCGGCAAAATTTGGCCAAATCGAGCCGCGCATTTCTCATCGCGTTCGACGAGCAGCCCGATTTGGCCAAATTTTGCCCGCAGACTGCCCGGCAAAATCTGGCCAAATCGAGCCGCGCCTTTCTGGAGGCCCGAATTTATTTAAACTATCGCGGCTCGGTTTGGCCAAATTTTGCCGGGAAGTCTGCGGGCAAAATTTGGCCAAATCGGGCTGCTCGTCGTACGCGCTGAGAAATGCGCGGCTCGATTTGGCCAAATTTTGCCGGGCAGCCTCCGGGCAAAATTTGGCCAAATCGAGCCGCGCATTTCTCATGGCATACGAAGAGCAGCCCGATTTGGCCAAATTTTGCCCGCAGGCTGCCCGTCAAAATTTGGCCAAATCGAGCCGCGATAGTTTAAATAATTTCGTTCAATTAGTTCATTCATTTCCAAATGGGGGGGATTCCCCAGCCCCCACCCCCCCCCTTTGGAAATAAATGAATTAATTGAAGTAATTGAATTAATTGAATTAATTGAATTAATTGAATTAATTCAATTAATTCAATTAATTCATTTATTTCCAAAGGGGGGGGGGTGGAATTAATTGAATTAATTGAATTAATTGAAATTAATTGAATTAATTGAATTGATTCAATTAATTCAATTAATTCAATTAATTCAATTAATTCAATTAATTCAATTAATTCAATTAATTCAATTAATTCAATTAATTCAATTATTTCCAAATGGGGGGATTCCCCAGCCCCCACCCCTCCCCCCCCTTTGGAAATAAGTGAATTAATTGAATTAATTGAAATAATTGAATTAATTCAACTAATTCAATTAATTCCACCTCCCCTTTGGAAATAAATGAATTAATTGAATTAATTGAAATTCAATTCATTCAATTCATTCAATTAATTCAATTAATTCAATTAATTCAATTAATTCAATTAATTCAATTAATTCAATTAATTCATTTATTTCCAAAGGGGGGGGGGTGGGGGCTGGGGAATCCCCCCCATTTGGAAATAAATGAATTACTTGAATTAATTGAAATAATTGAATTAATTTAAAATTAATTCAATTAAACTCCACCTCCCCTTTGGAAATAAATCAATTAATTGAATTAATTAATTAATTCAATTATTTCAATTAATTCAATTAATTCATTTATTTCCAAATGGGGGGTGGGGGCTGGGGCATCCTCCTCCCCCCAATACTAAACCACGAGCCCGGGCCTCCCCCCAATACTAAATCACGAGCCCGGGCCTCCGGGCCTTCCCGCAATACTAAATCACGAGCCCGGGCCTCCCCCCAATACTAAATCACGAGCCCGGGCTAAATCACGAGCCCGGGCCTCCAAATTACGAGGCCGGGCCTCCCCCCAATACTAAATCACGAGCCCGGGCCTCCCCCCAATACTAAATCACGAGCCCGGGCCTCCCGCAATACTAAATCACGGGCCGGGCCTCCCCCCAATACTAATTTACGAGCCCGGGCCTCCTCCCAATACTAAATCACGAGCCCTCCTCCCCCCAATACTAGGGCACAGTTTTTGCTCCAAAAGTGACATCGCAAGCCCTGGTCCCTAAGATTTTGAGCTCATTTCTTGCCCCAAAGAGTAACATCGCAAGCCCTGGTCCCTAAGATTTTGGGCTCATTTCTTGCCCCAAAGAGTAACATCGCAAGCCCTGGTCCCTATTATTTGGGGCCCCGTTTTTGCTCCAAAGAGTCAAATCGCAAGCCCTGGTCCCTAAGATTTTGGACTCAGTTTTTTGCTCCAAAGCAAGCCCTGGCCCTTAAGATTTTGGGCTCATTTCTTGCTCCGAAGAGTCAAATCGCAAGCCCTGGTCCCGAAGATTTCGGGTTCAATTTTTGCTCCACAGAGTCAAACCGCAAGCCCTGGTCCCTAAGATTTGGGGCACAGTTTTTGCTCCAAAGGGTCAAATCGCAAGCCCTGCTCCCTAAGATTTTGGGCTCATTTCTTGCCCAAAAGAGTGACATCGCAAGCCCTGGTCCCTAATATCTTGTTGCTCCAAAGAGTGACATCGCAAGCCCTGGTCCCTAAGATTTTGGGCCCAGTTTTTGGTTCAAAGCGTCAAATCGCAAGCCCTGGTCCCTAAGATTTTGGGTTCAATCTTTGCTCCAAAGAGTAACATCGCAAGCCCTGGTCCCTAAGATTTGGGGCCCAGTTTTTGCTCCGAAGAGTCAAATCGCAAGCCCTGGTCCCTAAGATTTTGGGTTCAATTTTT